GAAAAGAGAGACGATTTTCCACATCCAAAGTTGGCAAAGGGATGTTCCTGGTTGCCAGCTAATTTGAGGTGTTGATAGTTCCTCCAAGCATCGCTGGTTCGAGCATTGCGCCATTCCGAGTCGATGGCATTGATCTCACGATCGACCATGCTGGTTTCAAATTTGGGTGCAATAAAGAATTGTGCAAGTCGATCGAGAGACCCTTCTAAAGCTTCTGAAGTTTCATAGTCGTCTGCAGCAGAACAGGATTCTTCCCCATTGGTGGTTGTCGTAGTGGTAGTCTTTTTCTTTTTCTTGGCAGTTGTGGCAAGTGAAAAATAATAGTTGGTATCCTCCATGTCTGTGTAAGCATTGGAGAAACCTCCATACTTGCTCAGAAAGGTTTCGTAAGCATTTTCTTCGGGGTACTTTTCCGTTCCCAGAAAGAGCATGTGCTCGTTGAAGTGAGCCAACTGCAACGAGAAAAACACAGAAAATACAAGATGGAGGGAATGTACTATGTAAGTTGATGATGATGATTAAAAAAGGACACTGACATGATGGATACCGCAACAAACAAAACAAAACAAAAAAACACAACATACCCCTGGAATGGTATCATCAAAATGTCCTGCTTGGACATGCACAGCTGCAGCCTCCACATGGTACTGTTCTTCTTCCTCTTCGTCCTCGTCCTTGCTGGTAGTTTCGGTAGTACTGACTAATAAGACCTGCAGATTGTTGGCCAATTGAATCCATCGATATTTTCTCAAATCAGGATCTGGTTTGACAAATTCTGGATCATCTGCCAATATCTTGGTAACACCCTCTCGGTTGGGCGGAGCTAGGAAACTGTTCTTTTTGTTGCTGCTGCTGCCAACGGTCTCTTGGGCTGCCGTAGCAGTCGATTGAAAGAGGCACGAACTGCTGGTCCACAATGGCAGTGCCGCACGACGGAGTCCCTGTGTCCAGGATCCACCACTGTTGCCACAGCGGCATTGCAGGGCTGACTTGGTATGCAAACTCAAGCCGGCTGCTCTGGACAACAAGGATCCCACCGAGACTGCCATCCATGCTTGTCCTCCCTGCAAGGATACCAGCAACAGTGCCATCAGGAACCTGGTAGCCAAACGCAAGCCGTAACTGCTCCTCATGGCTATGTCTTGTTCGATGTCAGACAGGACGATCCAGTTCTCCAGTGCTCTTTGAAAGATAATTATCTCTTCCTTTTTATGAATCTCGGGCTTTTGCTTGCATGGAAATGTCGAGTAGAGGGATATTGCTGGCTTTCTGTGATGGGATCGAATCATTCACTCCATTCATCAATCACAGAGCCGACAACAGCAAAGATCCTCATTGTCGACATGCATCTTTGTTGGCAGCTGGGATCTTCCACCTGGAAATTCCGAAGCACGCCTGCGAATGACGTGTTCTGTGTCCTTCAGTCATGCTTCTGGCTTCACACATTTTAGCCACCAGAGCTGAATACCGTACGAATGGCGGTCCACCATACATGTATGATAGTTACAGAAAAAGATTAACAAACAATAGAGTACTAGTAGCATAAAACAATGCGTGTCAACCTGCCCAGGGTTCCGCTAACTTGCTCTTCGTGCTGAAGCAATGAAATGGCCATGTAGTCAACTGTTAGTTATTAGGGAGGCATTTATATAGAAGTGAGCAAGTCCTGCAAGTGCCGTGACACTGCAGATGCCTGCTTGAAAAATGATGGCCAGGTTATGGTAACCTCCATTCAGGCTGAACGGGTCTCATTCAGGCGGAACGAGCGCTCGTTTTCATATCGCCTCTTCAGAGCGGCCTCCAGCTCGGCCAGAACTCTCTTGTCTGCTTCTTCTTCCGTAGGCACTCGGTAGTATGTATCCAGCCTGCCATCAAATTGGCATCCAACGTGAATTTTGATGCGATCCTGTCGGGGAGAAAGCTCTTCACGAGGCTAACAAACATATTCGCGGCCCACCCGCAATGAAACATCTGGATCTCGTTCGGTTTTGAAGGATAGGCTCGTAAGTGCTCATCCCATAATCTTTGGTACGTGCTGGCACCGAGAGAACCACATTTCCGGTCTAAACCGTCGCATTCGACAACAGTTGCGTGTCCTTTTCTATCACGACGGAATGTAAGGGCAACACACCTGGGCTTTCTTAAGTAATTTCACCGGGACTTGACTGTTAAGTAAACGAAAGGGGTAAAAAATCGATTTTATGTTTTGAAGTACTATTTTACGGTTTTCCTCCTACATTTCAACACAAACCACAACTTGATCACCAGTCGGATTCGATTCTGTTTGTTGTGGCCTTGTTGTTGTGGTCGATCCGTACCGTACTACCTGGTACCAGTCCTGCGAACTACTATGGTACGGTACTTCTCCTGGTTGTGTCACTCAAGCGCCGGTGTGGTTGTCGCTCGCCGCAAGGGCTTTTCCTGTTGCAGTTGCCGTGAGGATGGATGTCACTCAAACGCCGCGAGGGCTTGTTGTTGAGGGTGCGGATGCCGGCTGGTTGTGTGGGTGTGGTTGTCGCTCAAACGCCGCGCTGGCTAGTTGTTTGGGTGTGGTTGTCGCTCGCCGCGAGGGCTGCTGTTGTGTGTGTGGTGTGCTGTTGTCTGTGTGGTGTCGCTCAAACGCTGCGAGGGCTGCTGTTGTCAGCCTGTGGTGTGCCATGGTGCTGTTGTTTGTTTGTTTGTTTGTTTGTTGTTGCTGTTGTTTGTGTTGTGGGCGTTTTACGATTTTAGTGCTTTTTTACTATTCTCAATGCTGGCCGTTTGTCACAGAGAACACCTGCTTAAATAGAATTTTTCACTTCCTTAAATATATTTTTAACCTGTAATAATATTAAATAACCTCCTTAATTACTGTCAGAACCGCCCAACGGTGTATTGCCTCTAAAACACACCACTCACTTAAGGGACCTGCCCCCACGGTTTAACCATCGCTTCGCTCCGGTTAAACCTGGGGCCAACGGTCCCATAAGTGAGAGGGTGTGTTTTTAGAAAGGTAATCCCGCGTTGAGGCACAGTCGTACCGGTAGTGCACATTTTGCAAAAAGCTGAACCAACTTACCTCATACAGTGGAGGTCCTGGTTCAAGGCCTGAGCCAAGTACCAATGGAGACGTACAAAAGTCTTCCATTCTTCATCATCTCTCAAGATAGAGTCATCAAACTTGACCTGATCCACCAGGAGCACTTGGTTATGCTCTATTGGATTTTCAATTAGGGAAAGTATGTGTCCAGGTTGCTGTTTCAAGAATGCCTGGAAGCTTTCGATGCCCTGCTGAAAAGTGTCAAGTACTCCATACTCCTCTCGAAAGACTTGTAGGTGCTGTGCCCTGCCCACAGCCAGTTCAACATCGTTCCCGTGCATGATCGCAAACTGAGTGTACATCATGTCTTTACAGTTTCATTAGTCTTCATGAGGATGCTACTAGCTAGTGTGCAGAACCGACGTAAGCCATTTTGGATACTTACCGGAGAGCGGCCCAAGGTCGTCGCACGCCTCGATTGCAGTCTTGATTGCCCGAGCTTGTCGTTTCTCGTTGTCGGAAATGAGCATACGCACGTTGATTTGAGAAAGAAGCTCAGCCAACAGCTCTGGCATCGAGCGTCCGTGGCCATGGCCACCCTGCCCTTGCACTTCGTTGTTCATGTTTTCTTGATGGTCGCTGAGTTTTCCAATGGGCCAAAATTTATGGGTAAGTGGGCTCTGAGAGGACCACGGTCTGGATTGGGCTACGATGTCATGTCCGTACGTCGGTCAGAAAAAAGAACGGAGGAGTACGGAACTAACGTAACTAGCTAGACTAAATCCGAAAGTGAGCGCTGAGTGGAGTAGGTAGCTGACAGCTGACCTACTAGAGCAGCTACTGTAGCACATATCGAAGAAATAAGTGATAAGTGAGTGTTGCTCGGTGGATGTTCCACCGACCTGGGGACTGGCAGCTGCGGCAATTGAGGAACTATGGGGAATTGTTTGAGGTGCTCCTAGGCCTGCACGATGAGGAAGGCTCTTTGGATTTCTTACGTGTGATGCAAGATTCCGGCATGCCAACCCGGAACCTGGGCCTTCTAGCTGGCCTACTAGTATTCCGCGACGGAAGTGTATCCGGATTATAGACACCCGCGGATGATTCTGATTCTGTCGGAAATGTCGCACCTTTCGGTGCCTACCATACATTGTACCGGTTGCAAAAGAAACAGCATTTCAGGTAGCCAGTTACTAGTACTCCAAGACTCCAAGTACAGCTCGTAGTAGTCGAGGCGATTGATACCTACGGTATCTGAAGGCTACGGCAGGCATTGTGCTGGTAGATTGATTTGGTCTGCGGCTTCTTGGGATTGGAGGTGGCGAACAGGTGTGTCTGTGTGGTAACCAATATTGGTTTTGGTGCTCGCTTCAAGCACTCCTTTTCCTTTTACTTGTACATGTACTGGTACGGTTAACAGGTGTGGCCGAGGAATGACAAAGGAGATGCCCTGTAGCTAGTACATGGCTGTAGGGAAGCAACCTGCAGAAGTCTGCTTTGCGAAGACAGCAAGGAGAACGATGGAGATTGATATATTTACAGGGGGACTGCTCGTCACTCGTCACAGCTTCGTCAACCCATTGAAGCCTCGATGGTATGCACAACGAGCTGGCTAGCCACCGACGTTCTTTTCTTCATTTGTTCTCTTCCTTTATGAGCTGTTTTACATCTCGCCCGAGCCCACGTTTACTGTACCTTGCTCGACCCTTTGGCCGAATTTGTAACGATGAGACAGGACCTCAGGGCAGCAGCTAGCCAGCTAGCTAGCGCAACAAAAACCCTTTAGTACAACGCTGGCCATGGCAAATGGCAAAGAATGACTACTAAGGACCGGAAGCAAGATTCTTCATCATGTGATCCCAAACGAAGCCATTGCGAGATTCGATTCGCAGTACAGCAAAATTGATTGATTCGATTCGATTCGATTCCATTGCTTGGAAAGGAGAGTGTGTATCTGCAAAGTTGGTTTCTGTGGGACAGGAGCGGGGTGAAAGGTTGTAGAGTGCCAAGCAGGTGATGTGGCTGGGACCTAACGGTAGCGTACTCGAGCGAGCTGATCCAGGCCAGGGTTTGATCGGGTACCGGTACCCCCAACGGCTATGCTGGGGTCGGGGTATTCGCCTTGTTCTGGAGAGAGTCAAGTCCTTGAGATCGACAATGGTTGCTCTACAAGCTACAAGTAGATGTACCAGTCTACATCCATGTACAGATCCAGTATCATCATTTCGGACCTTGCCGGTACGGCTGTACTCTAGAGTACTAGTAGTCTACTAGCTAGAGTACCGGTACGACTGCGATTGGTGTGGCCTTCTATCTATAAAATGCATTACTAGTAGAGATAAGGCTAAATGACTGTACTCTTTTCAGTCAGGCATTGAAAAAAGACTGCGATGTCACAACACTAAGTACGGAGGTTACGTACATTCGGTAATAAGTATGGGTCGTCCGTTTTGAGTGAGCACTCTCTGTTAATTGAATCCAAGACCAAAGCCAAAATCTTGTCAAGAGCATCTGAAATCTCAAGATCAGGACTTAAGCCCATACCGGTACCAGAGTCACTCATCTTATCAATGTGTGGCGTCAGGATTATGATGCCTGGCACCAAATGGTCACCGCAAAACCAAACACCCCAATTATGCCGCGCGGCATCGGTACGAAATGGCGAACGTAGCTCACAATTTCAAGCAACAACCCTTTTCCTTTTTCTGCATGACGAGTGCAGTATCATCATCAGTGGCAACAGCAAGCAAAAACTC